ATGTGGGTTTATTTATTTATTTTGTGTTGTTTTTATTTATTTATTATGCGTATGGTATTTTAACACAGTGAGAAAAATTGTAAACATTGGAAAACAAATATCATACTATAATTATTAAAAAAGCATGTAAAAAACTGAGAATAATAAAAAACAAGTTAAAGATTATGAAAATATATGTGAAACTGTTATCAAAAGTGATTGAGAATAGTAAAAGAAATTGAAAATAATTAAAAACTATTCAAAACAATTTTATACTTTGGTTTTGTCTGATTTAATAATTCACAACTTTATGTAGAGAATTTTCCCCAATGTTGTGCGATGTGAATGTCGACTTGGGGGGGGGGGGTGATGTTTTTCATGTTTTTCCGCAATTTCTATCGTCTTCTTCAATTGAAAATTCTGAAAAAATCTGGAATATATTAACTATTAGAGTATATATCCATGCATTTTTTTCAGAATTTTTGGTTTCAAAACCGAATTTTTGAAAATTAAAAAACTTTTGAAATGCCGATTTCTTATAGAAGTTATGAAACGACCAAGTTTATATTTTTACAGTTTTAGCATCTCGTTATTTTTGTTAACATATAATTTTTCCAGATCTTTCAAAGTGGATTTTTAACATATTTAAAAAAATAAAAAACTGGCAACTGTTTATATTACCGACGGTATCAGTCGTTTAATTATGTTGATATTATTACAGTTTTACCAGGACATTATAGTTGTTAACTTACAATTTTTTCAGATTTATTAGAATATACGAATATGTATCTCTGCATAGAAGGGAAAAACGGACAGAAAATTTGCAGTTTATCTTCCAACTACATGTCTTTCATTTCTACCTACGGCAAGTTTGACAAAATCATCTTTTGGACGGCTCAATTCGGCAAAATATTATACGCGACACGACGAAAAGACATTCCGTCTGAAAAGACATTTCACGATTCAAAAAAGACGCGCGTCGCGCGACGCATGCGCGATGCCCAACAGACCGTCGAGCCAGTGACCGAACGTCGAACACTGTGCTAACCGCAAAAAAATAAACCACTGTTCAGAGAAACTAATGTCAACTTCCCCCGTGTTATTGCTGTATGACCACGCGAACTATTTCCGGGCAATAAGCCGACGAAGCGGATGAAACAGAGTCAGAAATGGAAATAAATAATGGAAGGATAAGGAGAGACAAGGGAAATGAGCCTTGAATGGCCGAGATTGTTATCCATGACACGCGTCGACCATAAGCATTTTTTGTTCGATGAGAAAGCGTTCCGCGAATTGCTCTCCCGAAAAAATGCATTGGACCATACGGTGAGGAGAAGCGGATCGGGAAACGATGCGATATCTTTTCAGAGATTTACCTGCTGCGTGCTGAGATCAAGCCCTAAATATGTCGTATTCGAAGCGGCGCCCATATTTCAGTCGTCGGCCGACACACGATGCGACGAAATTGAGGAACGAGCACTAGCTGCCAGCGAAAGATGCAACGGCGCTGACGGGTCTGGATAACGCGTACACTTCACCGCGTGTCCGTAGGCTGGTTTGATGGTCGAGAAACTAACGTATGAACGATCTGGCCCATGTGTGGCTCACGATCATCCGAGGCATCGTTACTGCGCGCTGCTTCGCTTACGTTACGGCACAACCAGACTAAACCGGAGTAATCTTATCGTTATTGTTAATATGTGACACGGTACATTGCGCAAGGCTAATTAATCCGCGACCGGTTACTCTCGGATTTACATTCCCGCGAATTCACGATATTTCCATGTCGGTCTCGTTCGATGAAAGCTGTCTCGCTCCGCGACGTAGAGGTTAAGTTCCCGTCGATACATACTAATCTTTCCAGGCTGCAAGCTCTCGAGTTTCTTTACCGGCCGAGCTCTGGCATACCTGTTTCTGGAGAACATGTTATCCACGTTACACCAGATCCGCATTTCCATCAACGGAAATTAACCCTTCGCAATTGAAGCTACTATAATTCGAAAACCAAAATATATTCCCTGATCTACGATATTTCCGTTTCATAGGATTTATCGCGGTTTGTGCAGATGAAATTGAGCCTATTGGTAAGTTTTAAGTTTTTAAAATACGAGCAAGTCTGATGCTGTTAGAATTGATTCGAAGAATACACGTGGTACAGCAATTTTTAGTGGCGCCTCAGAGTCGTCATTCGAGGATAAACGGTTAACCCTACTGCTCTACGAAAGTAATGAACACTTAACGCAAGGTTATGTCAAACATTGTTGTTATGTTCAAACGTTGTAAAATAATTATCAATTTACATGTTGGTGTGATTGGTTTTATTCTAATACACACAATAATAGTGTTATTACTAATATAATAGCTTGTGACACGTACTGTAAATGCTTCCATAACGGCGCCAATAACGTGCAAAGTATTAACCCTTTGTACTCAAAGCCATTTTAGCTGTAAATCAAAAATAATTTTTCTGGCTTATATAGTATTGCCATTTTATATGATAAAGTGCATTTTATTTATATGAAATCGAGTCTTATGGCGACCCGCACAACAGTTACACTTTTAACAATTTTTTAAATCTAAATTTTCTTAATATAAAAATTATCTTGGAACGTGATATAACAATTTTAGTGGTGTCTCAGAGTCACCACTCGAGTGCAAATGATTAATATCCGTATAAATGCTGTAAAAGTTGAAAGGAATGTAGGATACTAAAAGGCGGTACAAAGCATTTTGCTTTATTACATTACTATGGGTAAAAGAGAAGTCTCTCGTTTAGAAATTTCAAAATGACTTAACGACAATTAAGAGGATACAACCCGCGCTGTATAAAGTTAATTTTTCACGAGCATATTGTTTATTTCGACACTTATTGAAAAATGTGGCGATAGCCCAGATTAGTGACTCCATAATGACATTTATATTTCCGGATAAATTTAGAGCAGTTGCTTTTTGTCGTTTTTTAGGATCCAGATTATTTGAAAAATTAATACGAAGTTTTGTGCAATTATGTGTTACGCGGATGACGTTCTTTTATTCGTGTAACACGTAAAAGCGAAAGATAATTTTAATCTACATACCATGAAATATAAATCAGATGAATTTATTTGTACAATGTGGCAGCCGTAAAAAGCACGGTTATCAATTTTATCATTAAAATGTCAATTGTATCGATTAATTAAAAACAGGAATTAGTTTCTAAAACTTTTAGAAACAAATGTTTTATTTTTGAAATTAATACAATGAAGCGAAAAATAAAAGTGGAGTTTATTAAAAGAAACTTTTCATTCAACAATAGTTTACCTTACAAGACGTAATCATAAAAAAAATTATGAAATTAAATACACTGCATTTTGTTGAAGTCTAAAAATAAAGCGTAATCAAAATGTTACAATGCATTGTAAATAAAATAGAAACAGAATCGTGTAACATCTAATATAGATACTATTTTAATATATTCGTAAAATTTTTCCTATTTTTCTCTTTCGCACTCTCTTTCGCTCTTTTTCTTTCTTACTTCTTTCTCTCACTCGCTCTTTTTCTCTTTCGCTCTCTTTCTCTCTCGCTCTTTTTCTCTTTCGCTCTCTTTCTCTCTCGCTCTTTTTCTCTTCCGCTCTCTCTCTCTCTCTCTCTCTCTCTCTCTCTCTCTCTCTCTCACGAAGTGCCGGCAACTGTAAAGGCCAGCCGCGAGGCTCGAGGAATCGCAACATAGTACTCTCAGATTTGCCGGTTTCAATTCCGAACTCCGAACATTTCTAGGAGAAATTACTGTACAACGTGATTGTATTATTATGTAATTGAATTATTTTGTAATTATAATGTAATTATAATGAATAATTATAATTGAATTGTAATCCTGCACAACTCTGATTATCAGCTATGTTTACGGGGAAATTAACGCAATTCGTAGGGTAATCAACAAAATTTATTTGACAGTATTTCGAATCTTATTAACTAATTTCTTTGTAGCCCTATAATGTTACTAATATTATTATAATTTATCTTTTCTCCTCTGGCATATTTATGGAACATTGAAAAATCACATTTTATTTTCTAATCACATTTTGTATTCTTTATTATATTCCTTTATACTTTGAGAAGATTTCGATAAAAATTTGCTAAACTTCATTGTTTAATATATGTTTTCACATCGTAACATTAATTTCTATGCATTTCCAATCAATCGTGTATTATACAATAAATAATTTAGGTGGTATCAAAACATAGGTGCACCGCAATATAGTCTACACTTCGTAAAAATATCGCATTTACAGAAAATACATACCAGCGGTGATCCTAGAGACTAAAAGCATCGATGAAATACCGGGTGTCCCAAAAATGTCTCGTAATCCGGAAATAGGAGGGTTCCTGAGGTGATTTGAATTAACTTTTTTCTTAGCGAAAATGCAATCCGCGGCTTCGTTTACGTGTTATTAACGAAAAACCCTGGCCAATGAAAGGCCGCGCTAGCTCTCATTTTTGATAAGTTGAAAACGATCTGACAGCATTGTTTTTATCCGTTGTATTTTACACCTTCGTATTCTATCTACTCACTTTTGTCATAAATGCATAAAATCTACAGTCAATTATAAATGATTAATTTAATGATTAATTATTAATTTCTAATTTTTGATTAATCATTAATTATTAATATAATGAATAATTATTAACTTAATGATTAATGATTGATTATTAATTTAATTATCAATGATCGATTACTAATTTAATGATCAATGATTGATTATTAATTTAATTATTAATGATCGATTATTAATTTAATTATTAATATAATTATTGATGATTAATTATTAATTAACTAAATATTATTAACCGATTTCTTGAAGAATACAGATTACTGATCTCAGTTAGAAAGTTTCCGGCAAAGTTTTTGGCAATTAAACAAAAAATATACGAGCTATCATGCCGTGGGTGGGTGACGATCCGATGAAAGGACTGTTTTGTGACGCATTAACAGCTGTTAGGATAAAATGATTGTTCAATCAGACCGCATCGTTCAATTATAAGGATAAAATTACGTTCAAGGCGTTTTGAATTAATACGCTATTTCTTAATTTACTACGCCATTAGTTATCTTGCATATTTAGTTTTTCTCCTTCAAAATTACTTAAAAATTTTGTGGTCTCATATTTTAATGGTACAATTTCCAATGAATGTTTAAATGTAGATTTAAATAATTTTTTATAACAAAGTTTCTACTTATTTCCTCACCTGCAAGGAATTCTCTTTGTCCAGCGATTTTTCATGACGTTTACTTGACCGATCATTTTGAAATTTGGATATTTCATTGCATAAAATAGTCTTCTACAAAGTTTATACTTTGAACATTTGTTGGAAAATACACTCTACGTCCGCAATTTCTACGGCATGATTTTTTCATCTGTTCGATAAAGCTAATATAATTTGAACTATTTATGTTTCCTTAAAAACTTGAAAATATAATTGCAGTACGTCTGCAATTGCAGACTGCCCCATTATTCATCATTCTGCCATCTAATGTCGACGACTTAATCCTTTGTCTTACAACCACGTCTGAGTTGTTGGACCAAAATCGGACCAAAAATGATTATCACGTCTGAGAGACGTGGTCAAAAAATCGGGCCAAAAATGATTATCACGTCTGAGAGACGTGGTTAAAAAATCGGGTCAGAAATGATTATCACGTGTCTGAGAGACGTGGTAAAAAAATCGGGCCGGAAAGGATTACCACGTCTGAGGGACACGGTCAGATAATCGGGTTAGGAATGATTATCACGTCTGAGAGACGTGGTAAAAAAATCGGACCAGAAATGATTATTACGTCTGAGAAACGTGGATAAATATCGCGTCAGAAATGATTATCACGTCTGAGGAACGTTATAAAATGATCGGGCCAGAAATGATTATCACGTCTGAGAGACGTGGACAAAAAATCGGGCTAAAAATGATTATCACGTCTAAGAGACGTGGTCAGATAATCGGGATAGAAATGATTATCGCGTCTGAGAGACGTAGTAAAAAAATCGGGCCAAAAATGATTATTACATCTGAGAGACGTGGTTAAAAAATCGGGCCAGAAATGAGAGCTCTGATGTGTGTCAGTCGGGTCAAATATAAACATAACTAGTTAGGCTCGTGTTAGACTAAAGGATATGTGTTTTTTTTTTGTTTTTCGTCATTTAATTGTTTTGTTATTAGCTAAAGGAGGTGGCGCAGGAACCAGCTTGACGCGTGCTGCGATTTTTGCAATCTTTAAATGTTTACAGATTATACGAGCGTTAACCGATTTCGGTAAAATTTTTAATATGTGCATGTATAACTTATCGAGATCTACAAAACAAATTTTTTAAATTTTCGTTTTAGTCTCAAATAAAAATGTTAAAAAGCAAGAGTTTTCTATTTTGAAGCAATAGCAACCTTTAAAAAACAGATTCTAGTTATGGTCGAATAGACTGGTCGCTCTATCATCTAAAAAAGGATTCGAGTCGTTTAGTCCAGTTCTAAAAAAATTATTGCGTTTTAAAAGCTGGTCGAGCACTTTCGCGAGCCTGTGTATATGTTTCAACGTTTACGATTTTATTCAAACGAGGAAGGAAAATCACGTGTAGTGTACACAAACTTCACGGACCAAGAAAGTAAGGTTAGATGTAACACATGGTCTGCTACGAGAAGTGCACGATTATCGAACCAAGAAAATTTGTTTCAGTTACTGAATCATTTTAAATAAAAAGATATATCTAAGAAATCGATTGTATTACTGTTTATCTGTAATTTAACCGAGTTTTATGATCATAATGGGTTATGTTCGCCTTCGAAAAGCATCATTTTTATATGTTTTTTTTTTCTAATCATTG